CCCTGGCACGGCTCTACCCTGCTCTCCATTTTTAACGCCTCTGAAGGGTTTTCTTTCCAAAAAGCTCTCGAGTGAGGCTGGCTGTGCAAGCGGGGTATTTTTAGTACGTATTCATACAAAATGACTTAGGCTAATAATTTGCAATGTAAAGTTAAGAGCTTCAAGAAAAACTCAGCCTAAGCAGATTTAGGGTCAGTGGGACTTTCTTGCTGATTTTGCTGAACGGAACCATGCAGCCGGAGCCAGGAAAGCTGCGTGGAGGCTAGAGCTGGTCACTGGGGTTTGTTTTTTTTTTTTCTCAGGGCAATAAAACCCCACTGTGCCTGAAGGACCAAGACTTGAAATCCTTCCACGGACTGTGACTCTGCAAAGTTACATAGAAATATTTAACCTGTAAATAGTCGCATCGAGCACAACGGTCACCGGAAGTACTGCACCGAAGTTCCCGGACCCACACTTTCCCCGTGTCCTTTGCCTCTTTTCGCTATCAATGATCCTTGAGCAAAGAAATGAGCTGCTGGAAGTGCTTTTAGAAGACAGCAATAATAAATCCACCTCTGCCCCCCCACCTCCCCCCAGTTGCCTCTCCCTGAAGGTCCACGTGCAATTCGGGGGCCAGCCAGGCTCGCCTCTCCACCCCACAAACGTCACTACCCACTGGCAGGACCAAGGCTCTGTTGCAGGCCCCCCCCCACCTCCAGCTCAGCCCCTCCTGGTGATCAGGTCCATTGCCCGTGGGGGATAACGCGTCCCGAAGCCAAGGAGCTGCCAGGCTGCCGGAGGACACCCCCCCAGGGAAGGGAGGAGACCCCCGGGGATGGTCACTGCCTGAGGAGTGCTGGGGGGGGACATCGAGGCCTTGACAAGCAACACGGGGCGAGGGAGCAAAGGTGGTGAGGATGGTGATGGGTCATCCCATCCCTGCTTCGGAACACGGTCCCTCACCCATCACTGGTGGCAGGCGGGGGCTCAACAGCTCAGCAGACACAAAGGACCCCCAAAGCCCTGCAGAGCCACCAGCCTGCAAACACGAGCCATGGCTCAGGGTGAGGGGAGTCACTGCAGGTGAGAGACCCCCGTGTGACCCCATCTCTCGCCCTGAGCCACGGAAATGACAAAGAGTTTCCAAGCTTTCACTTGCAAGTGCGTCCTCTGCGCAGGTGTGCGGGACAGAGCTCGCACCCGTGGGTGTCCGGAAAAGGTGGAAGGGTTTAAACCCAAGCGTCGAAGGGCTGCAAAGCCCTGCTTGGGCAGGAGTTTTACTGCAGCGAGCATGCCCATGACCAGCACGGCATCTGGCAAGGGTCAGATGTGCTGGCAGAACGAGGGAAAGAAGTGTCTCGCATTTTTAATTGTTTTAATGAAGAAGAGAAGCATCTCAATGTACAGCAAACCTCAGCGAATGACCCTCGGTCACCACGTTCTCCAACGCCAGGATGACACCATCTCATTTTCTTCCGCTTTGTTTTTCAGAATGGACTAGTGGCAAACCCTCCCAGGCTTTCCAACACCAACTGGCTTCTCGGCATGAAGTAAACTCCCCGAAGCAAACAGCCGGAGCAAACTGCGAACGAAAGGTTCAGCCCCAGATGGGATGTTTGTCAGAGGCTGGGCTAGCACTTGCCAGCCAATGACTTCCACCTGGTCAAGCTCCTTACAACCTGGGCAGCAACTACCCCTTATTTTGGTATAAAAAGAGTTTTATAAGGTTAGACTTTACCATAGACGGTTACAATTCGAAATTTAACCTTCAAATGGATTACTTTAAAGCTGTGAGTCCATAAAATATGTGGTCAATTAAGATGCGGGGCCTTAAGAGCTGCCTGCAAGCTTGGTGTAAAACTCGCTTTTAATGGCGCTTGGGCAGATTTGGTAACTGAATCAGAACCGCGGAAACAGCAAAAAAAACCCCAATACCAGATGGGTGCTTCTCATTAAACAGCTTTTTCCATTTACATGCTTTTACCGGCTGTTATGGGCTAAAAAAAGTCCTACACAATCATAAATGTTAATAAATACAGTATAAAGTACTGGGCTTTCTCCCCCCCATCTTTTGGTACAGTTCTTTAAGGTTCATATTCTTCAAGCTCTTCTCTGCAGCCACAAATACTAGTTGCTTTTTTTTTTTTTCCCCTTTCCCTTGCATGAAGAACCGCTTCTGTAATCCCTAAGATTCTTGCTTTGGGACTTGATTTTTACATAAAAAAGCCTCACACCAATATTGAACAACTGATAAAACTGGCAGAACTATTAAAAACAAGTGCTCAAACACTTAATAATTATTTTTACTGTGTTTTGAATACACAAAACATTACGAAATTATCCAGCCTTGCCATCGTGCGTGTTTTAAATGTTTAGTTATGGATGTTTTCAGACAGCAAAAGCACTTTTAATCTTTTCATGAGGGACAAGTAAAAAAACCTCCATTAGAGAAAACTAACTGCCAGGGCGCGGGCAGCAACGGGAGCGAACACCGGAGTCTGACGGATGGACTTGTTTTCCCTTTCCCCAGAGCCAGGGTACGCGGCATTAAGTTAATTCCGGGCCAAAACACAAGAGGTCAAAACCCTTTGTAAGAGGGAGATCCTGTTACCTGGACTCACTTCCCCAAACTGCTTTACCTTTGAGGCTGTATGAAGAGATACGGACTGAGGCAGACGACATGAGGAGCTCCGATTGCAAATAAAAAATCTTTATTGCATCTTAGAAGCAAGTCTTAAGAAAAGGAAAAAGAAAGAAAAAAAAAAAAAAAAAAAAAAAGAGAAATTTTCCATGCACTAAATCCACCCAAA